AAGAGACATAATATTTAGTGAGGGCCGTGTGGTCCTCAATGCGTGTGACGGCTCTGACCATCACTTCTAATTTGGCATACTCCGGAACGATCCCCTCGTTCGTGAGTTGCCTGATAATATTGAAGGGTAATCCCTCAATGAACCGTTTCCGCATTGTTGCATCATCCGGTGTTTGGAGCATCCGTGATGCCCATCGTGTAAGTGAGGAATAATAATCCCTCACACCCGTATCGGGTGAATACTCAATAAGGTCAAACTGCCGTGCAGCTTGATGAATGGTTGTTGCTTGGATGCAACGATCAAAGACACCAATGATGGCGCCTTCAAATGTCCACTTAAGGACAGTGCGGTGTATACCAGCGACTTCGTTGTTATACCAGTCAAGGGCTTTGCCCTTTAGAAACATGCCAAGCACGGCAGTCCGTGTAGCATCGTAATCGTCACCGCACATGCGGTTGACTACCATCCATTGGAGAAGTGACATTAGCCACCGCTCGAAGACATCGACATCCGGAGATCCATCATAGACCTCCGGAGATGGAACTTTAAGAGCTTTACGGCTCTCAATGGGAGGGATAGGATTCCCTACCTTATCTCGAATTTGTTTACGGTACACTTTGTGTACCTTGTGTTTCCATCGGGAACGACGTTCGTCGTCACCTGTTGTTTCTCGCATCTTAGATGCAAGTGAGCGCAGTAATTTATGCTGCTCATTTTTAGTAATTTTACCCTTGCAGGTAGCAAATTTGTCTAGCCAAGAGGCATTAGACGATGAGTCAGTATTTGACTCAGTGTCACTTGGGTCCGATGATTCATCTGACCATGGGCTGCGTTTGCGGCCTTTGGATTTAGCACTCTTGTGCTTCCTCCCCCCTTCACGGGATTTTTTGCTAGGCGCTTTCGCTCCGGCATTATTGCTTGGTCCTGGAAAGGACTCAGCGGGTGGAATGTAAAATCGATCCCAGATTTCTCTGGGAGTAGTCAATTTATCAACGGGTATTCCGTCGACATTATATCCCACCATTTGGTCGGACTCATCCAATCTTTAGCTACTCCCAACGGAAGCGGCTGTGGTTGCAACTCGGCCAATACCGTTGGTACTGGCATTGAACTTGGCTCTGGCGCATTGCTGGGCGGCAATTTGGGCAGTACGGTACCCTTCCGGTAGTTCCTACTACCATATCCATCGCCCCAGCGACACAAAGTGTTGCCCATCCGGTAGTACACACTACCGTAAGACTGCCCAAATTGCCGCCCAGCAATGCGCCAGAGCCAAGTTCAATGCCAGTACCAACGGTATTGGCCGAGTTGCAACCACAGCCGCTTCCGTTGGGAGTAGCTAAAGATTGGATGAGTCGCATAGCGATTCAACGCCAACATAACACCAGTCTCCGAGATTTCGGATTCGTGCCATCTGGGCTTCCCGACCAAATGGTGGGATATAATGTCGACGGAATACCCGTTGATAAATTGACTACTCCCAGAGAAATCTGGGATCGATTTTACATTCCACCCGCTGAGTCCTTTCCAGGACCAAGCAATAATGCCGGAGCGAAAGCGCCTAGCAAAAAATCCCGTGAAGGGGGGAGGAAGCACAAGAGTGCTAAATCCAAAGGCCGCTAACGCAGGCCATGGTCGGATGAATCATCTGACTCTAGTGATACCGAGTCAAATACTGACTCTTCGGAATTTGCTACCCGTAAGGGTAAAATTACTCCTAATGAGCGCCGTAAAATACTGCGTTCACTTGCATCTAAGATGCGAGAAACAACAGGTGACGACGAACGTCGTTCCCGATGGAAACACAAGGTACACAAAGTGTACCGTAAACAAATTCGAGATAAGGTAGGGAATCCTATCCCTCCCATTGAGAGCCGTAAAGCTCTTAAAGTTCCATCTCCGGAGGTCTATGATGGATCTCCGGATGTCGATGTCTTCGAGCGGTGGCTAATGTCACTTCTCCAATGGATGGTAGTCAACCGCATGTGCGGTGACGATTACGATGCTACACGGACTGCCGTGCTTGGCATATGGTAGTAGGAACTACCGGAAGGGTACCGTGTTGTGGTCCCATACTGGAATGATTTCCAGTAGTGTTTGGTACAACTATTGGAGGTGTAATAATATTGGGTACCATTGGCGCCCTTGCAGTAGGGAAGTACATTGTACTTTCCTGTGGTGGTATCGCTACTACCTGATTGAAGTTACGAGGTAACTTTGGTTCACTTTTAATGTTCACCGCGCTTTGTGGTGAGCAAGATTTGGTCACCGGTAATGGCCTGGGACCTTGCAGTGTCAGAGACGCTGCCTCCGCATTGGGACTCTGTCTCATGCGGGATGTGTAGATGGGTGTCGGTATAGTTACTGACACTGGTGCGTATTCCTGTTGGAATACAGGAACATGACGGGGTGACTTGGTCATCCCTTGTGAATACTGTTCATCCAACAGTGATTGTTGGACTGACGGTGCCTTGGGCACAGTCTCACGCCATTGGCGTACCGAGTTGTTTGTCTCGGTATGAATATATGGTGTTGCGTTGTGCAATACCGGTGGTGTGACGGTAGGCCGTCTCGGTGTGGGTGCAGCAATAGTGGTTCTATTGCTGTTTCTTGATGAAGAAGATCTTTCTTCATCAGATCAGATGCTAGATGCATCCCATTTCTCAGTTATATTGAGGATACGATTGAGTACTTGCGTACTCTTGTCAAGTGATGCCGCTACATCTCGTAGCGCAGAAGAAATCTCACTTAAACCCTCTCGGGTCGGCCGTTTCTTATGAATAGTCATATACTGTTCATTAGGTGGACTCTTGTCCTGCCTGTAGTGCCGTCCTTCAGACGCACGCACGGAATGAGTCGCTGATGCGACTGAATAGATTGATTGTGGTGACACGTCACCACGAATGGAAGGTGCGCGATCGCGCATGCTCCGATATGACTTCTCTGATTGATTTCGAGAGGTCATTGAGACAGCAAATGATATAGCGGGACGGAAAAATGGAGCGGGTTTGTGTAGATTGTGTAGTGAGTTGGAATAATGGTTGTTATACTTGGTAGTATAACTGTTTTTAGCTTGTTAAACTAATAGCTTTGTGTTATTCACACAATAGTAATTTTTGATGTTCAAAAAAGTATAACGCGCCCTATGGGCAAAGTCCTTAAGAACACCGGTGAACACAACAAATAGGATACTATTGTGTGTACAACGGTGTAAAAGACTAACTAGACTCTTAAGTAATCGTACGATACTTATAGTAACAGATTTATTATATAATTAATAATAAATAGAATGATAAGATAGACCATTTGGTCTATCGGCGGCGTCTAGGATGACCGTATCGCCGGATACGGTCAGTGGTGATTATGGAGAGGCGGAGGCGTTACAAGTCAAACATTGCGCTCCTGCTTCCTCCTTCTGTGCTGAATGCCCCCCTGTCAGGGAGGAATTCCTTGAGCACCTTCACAATGACCTTGATACTTCCATTGGCTTGAATGCCTGCGTTTGTGCTGTTGCAGATGCGTCTTTCTTTGGCCAAATCTGTGTAGGTGAAGTTCTTCCTGTAGTAGGGCTAGATAGCCCTCTCATTGATATTCCATTTCTCCCCATTTTCATTGTTACCTTATTTTATTATAGTATATTGGCCGGTATGGGATCTAGATACTGGATTGGCAGCAGGATCCGGACTGCCACCAACATTGCAATACCTTGAGCAAGTGTTGTATAAGCTACAGAGCTTTGTCCACTCTGTTAGCTGGTGTCGGGGGATTGCGCTAAGCGGTATCCCAATCCTGTCTGCTGATTGAGGATCTCAGGGAACAGATTGGTCTGACTCAAGGATAATTATCTCTCTTTTTGATCACTTTGTCATTGTACTTCTTTTCTTTGTTTACCTATATTTAGTAGCTACTTCACTGTCATATAAAGTACGATGTCAAGTAGAAATCCACTCTTTTCCCCCCTTTGTCCGGAACTGTCATCTCTCAGAGGCCAACAAGACAGTCTTATTGAGTGTCCGTCATTGTCTACAGTGTAGCAATGCGTATACTTACTTGAAGTTAAGTGTTTCTTATCGTACTTTCCTTTCTCGCTACTCGACAAGGCTTTGCAGTCTGTGGACGCATTGTCTTCTTTATTTTACAGGTAGACTACTTTCCCGATCCCGACTGACGATCCTAGAGTCTATCCGCAGACTCACATACTCCTCCACATTCCCACCTCTCCAAACATCTCCAAACATCGACCAATATGTCCCTTCCAAACATCCCCTAGTCTTGTCCCTTTCCCCTCCCAGTGCCAAAGGTACTAGGAAGCTTCACCTCCCTTGTACCAAGACACACCAACACAAAGGCGATGATGTTGTTCTCACCCATCAGGAATCCATCACTGACCCCATTGACGCCATCAACCACCATCTCCTCGTTAATCAGCTCTCCCCTTCCTCGCCTCCCTTCTCATACATTGATGTGTTGGGTGAACACCGAGTTCTCACCAAGAAGCTTCTTCTTTCGGTGTGCAACTCGGTTTGGGCTGCTCATGGAATCCCTTGTATCACAGGCCACTCTTTCCGCATCAGAGGAACAACTCATTACCTCCTTAATGGTGTCAGCCCCAATGTTGTAGCTGCACTGGGCAGGTGGAAGTCCAATGCATTCTTGTTTTACTGGAGGAACCTAGATTCGCTTGCCTCTATTCACTTACACCATCATCACTCCCGCTCCACATACTCAAACAGGCTCAATATGCACCATCATGGCTAAGCACATCTGCATCTCAGATTTTGTCCCTCTCTGTACATCACACTATTTCTGTCCATACACTGTACATGCCTTTCTCATTATTATCACACTTTAACACATAACAATTATCAAACTTACATTCGCTGCAATGATATTACATTTGGATTCGTATTCAGATTACTGTCAGTAGGGATGATGTCTTCATATAGTTGAGGTTATGTGGCAAATGGAAAAAATTATTCATTCCTCATCGCCTTGTAATGTGCTCAAAGGAGGATTTGAACCTCCCTCTCCTTGAATAAATTCCAAAGTCATTTTTGGATGGGTGTATTAATCCGAGGTGTCATAACCACTCGACCATATTGTGAAGAGTCGAGTACGAATCTCCTTTGCCACCAATGTCAATAGGTTCAGTAAGTAACTGGTTCACTAGGCAATGAATTAGCCTAGGGGTTGAAATATATTTAATGAATACAATCTAAAGAATTATCGTTAGGGCGTAAGTATTACTGGGAAAGCTTCAGTAATCTTCAGGGTTGCTGGGATAATTCAAGCGTTGATACTATTGGTAAGTCGTCAATAGTATTCGAGGTTTCGAGTCTTCACTATATTGGGATTGACGTCAATATAGGCTTCAAACTATCCACTTATCTGGTATGTACTCAGTAAGTATTTAGTTAGGGATGTATGTACTCAAGGATATTCACTCAAGTAAAGTTCAGTTGCAAGTAAGGTGTATTCACGTAGTGATGGTTACAAAATAAGAAGTCTGGGGAACCAGAATCGAAATACTAAGCTTTTTATAGTGTTTCGGTATACTCCCGGTTCCTTAGTTATGACTCGTTCTAACTAATGGTGACTTTTCTACTTATACATACTAATACTTAATAACTATTACAACTTATGAATTCCTAAGTGTAATAATGACTCGTTGTGCAACCGAGTTGACTGTATTTGAGCGCGTCGTGACTATCAAAGTCTAATTGCGCTCCGATCGGTGGTGAAATCCCAAATGGGAATCATTGATCTGATTGATCAATTGTTGATTTCGTTGGTGGGCGGCCGATCGTAACACAATAAGTAAGCGCTAGTCGAGCGCTTACTTCCCTTCTTTACTTCGAATCACACCCCATCGTACCAATATCATATACAAGTACCTTAGATACAAGTATTAACCAAGACCTTGTCAATAATCCCTAAGTACAATTATCCAGTGAATGTATCTAGTACCTTGGAGTGTTACTGGGGAAATGGAAATGTGATACTTGAAAGAATATGCTGTGATCGTTGGCTCGATTCCTGACAGTATTTCCCCCTTCAATAAGACCGAGCCTTCGAGGTCTGATTTCCGTAAACTTCATGTACAATTTGCAATTGTTTAATCATGGGATTAATAGCTGTTCTTTAATCTCTCACACTAATCTCGGGTATGAGAATATAGTAGGTGGAATTTCTTGGAGATTGTGAGTAGGCTAACGATAGCTTCGACATTTCCTGACGTCGGTTAGGTGGTTTTATCCCGATGTTTGCCTCGTTTCATTAGGGTGACCTACTCCTGTGAACAGCTTTGCTTGATTTGGATTTATTCCAGGAGATTTTGGGGTCGATATCGTGTGGGCCTCCTTATCCTCTACGAGTCATTAATCCTTAATTATTCTGGAAGTCGGTTCATTGTCCCGCATTGCGCAATTTTCATCGATTTGCGAACCATAGAAGGTATGTTATTCATTTAACACCTTCCCGGAGGATGCCAAATCCAACCTTATAAAAGCACTGATATTTGGGTACTTATGGTCCAGGTCCTTGTTGTCCTTCGCGCCTTGAAACGCTCTATCATTTCCACTCATGACTTCCGCTATTTCCAGCATTATGATGGCATCTCCTCACCCTACTGAGTCCACTCTCCCTCCCTACGAGGCCGCATCCAGGACTTTAATCAACCCTGCTTCTGAACCGTTAGACCAGGCAGTGATGCGCCAAGTTCTTGCTCGTCTTGCCGAGGACCCACGTTTGGCGGAGCTGAACTTTGATATCCCCGGTCTAGGACGTACTACTTTCAATGTGAATCACCTCCCAATCTCAGTTGTTCAAGCTTTGGTAGCAGTAGGACTCGCCGTGAATGCTGAGGTAGACCGCAATGACGAGTGAGTATTCTAGTTTGTCCATAGAATGTTTAATTGAAAAAATCCTTCAGTGCGGTGTTCCGTATGTCTGTTGAGCAACACGAACATGAAGCTGGTTCTGCCGAAACTATCGCCAATTTGGAGATGTAAGTAATTTTCCCTACATGTTATTCATTCCTTGGATTAATTTCTGTTTGATTAGTTCAAATGCTGCGCTCTCAGCGCATGCCCTGCAACTCGAAGAGGACTACTACAATTTGGATAGTAAATATAATAGCCTGTTGGGGTACGTTATCCACTTCTTTTTCCCCCTAAGTCTCTATACAAAACTAACAAATTGGTCATAGACAATATACCAATCTGGAACAGAAGATGGAGAAATTACGTCGACGCCAACGCACGGATGGTCGTGTTCGTAAGGCTGCTAGGGAGTCCAGTGACCGCATCCATGCTCTCGAGAATGCCAACCATTCTCTCCAGACAGATAACGGATTATTGGTGGTTCGAAGTGATAATCTCCAGGAGCGCTTAGATGAGGCCGAGGCAGCGGTCCGCAACTGTCGACAAGAACTCATTCTACTTCAAGCAACTCATGCTACCTCAGTTCGTGACTATAATCAATTAGTCGTGATGTATCAGCATGTATCGGCTTATTTCCAGTATTACATGGGCGCCTCGAAGGATCTTGCCTCGGTAGTACAGATTTTTGCAAAGAGTAACCTGGCACACTTCATCGTGGCTATTGCTGATGATCTCGATAAGGCTCGTATCCATGCCTGTGAAATGGTCTGGACAGACTTGGATTCCGCCAATGAAGTTCGTACCCAGGTTATTGACGATCTGGATTGTTTATCATCAATGGTGGATGCCGCTATGAAATCTTCTAATGCCGTTCAGAAATTTGATTCTCGTGTCGGGAACCCGGTGGAGTTTGCTACCCAATTTGTTCCCATGTCTGGTTCCTATGCCTGGGACCTTGCCCACGGCGAATTTGCATTCCGTCGGGTGGTGGATGAGCTTCCCGCTTTTTTAACCGGTGCCGTATCAGTCAAAGCCATGGGTAAGCGTGTTAGATTTGACGATGAAGTTTCCGTCTCTGAGGATGGGAACTTGGTATACCCTAGTCCTAGGATTTTGGAGTCTCCCGAGTACCAGCCTTATTCCCCCGTTCTATCTCCTTTATCTGTTCAATCGTCTGATTCTGATATTCGTGAAATCCTTCCCTTCAATGTATAATTTCAAATTCCTTAAACAGATTAGTACACTTAAATAGAATTGTACATGGAATTCAATTGATGCCTTCACTGTGTTTGTGTTTCCCGTTCCCATTCGGATTCCTTAAGTTTATTCTTCTCGGGATGGAGAAAATGGAACTCCTCCACCGACTCTTCGGCCCTGGGTAAGTGTGCAATAGGTTCCCATGTATCGTGTTCTGGGCCATATCCTTCCCATCGGATGAGATACAACATCCTCCCCCTAACTCTCTTACAATCCAACACCTCCTTAACTTCGTATTCTTCTCCTCCATCTAGTTCCACTGGGGGTTGGGGTGCTGATCTCCTAGCAGGAAAATATTCGGGTGGTTGTTCATTTAGTAAATCAACGTGAAATACATTGTGAATTCTTCCCATTATTCCTGGCAATTCTAGCCTGTAAGCGTGTGTTGATATTTTATCTTTGATCTTAAACGGCCCGAATTTCTTGTAATCCAATTTCTTGGATGGCCGTTTAGTTTTGATATTCCTGGTGTTTAGCCACACCTTTGTTCCTACTCCCCACTCGGAACTCTCTTCTCTTCGCTTCTTATTAACCTGCTTCTCATATTGTGTGTTAGCCCTATGTATCTCTTCCTTTAAGTATTCATGAACCTGTTTCAATTCTCTTGCCTTAAGATGAGCCTTATGGCTAGGAACCGCCTTCAGAGTTAGTGTTAGTCTGGGATGATATCCTTTATTGGCAAAGAAGGGAGTAACACCAGTAGCATCACTAGGTGTATTATTGAACACAAACTCTGATAAAGGTAGCCATTCCACCCAATCATCTTGGTCATAGTTAACAAACATCCTAAGATATTGTTCAAGGGTTTGATTTGTTCTTTCAGTTTGTCCATCAGTCTGGGGGTGGTATGCTGTTGATAAATTCTGTTTAATCCCAAGTAATGTGCACAATGATGTCCATAGTTTGGAGGTAAAGAGTGTTCCACGATCTGATACTATGTCAACTGGAAGGCCATGTTTTGAGAATACATCCCCTATGAACAATCTTGCTAGCTCATCAGATTTATCTGTAGTTCAGCATGGTACGAATATGGCTTGTTTAGTGAGCCTACATACTACTACCATGATCGCATCATAGCCCTCTGACATGGGGAGCTCTACAATATGGTCAACAGATATTGAGCTCCAAGGTCGTTCCCCTATTGGTAAGGGTTTCAGTAGTCCAAATTTCTTTAACCTTATTGCTTTCCCTCTTTGGCAGTCATGACAGGCAAGTACATATCGTTTAACATCCTTGTGGAGTCCTGGCCAGAAGTAGGTCCTTAGAATCAATTTCTGAGTCTTCCTTATCCCTGGATGTCCCCTTAATTTATGATCATGATGTACTTGGAGGATTCTTAGTCGGAGTTCCTCAGGTACATATATTCTACCATCTCGGAGTAGTAATCCATTCTCCACTTTGTACATTCCGGGGTCATCTGAGTTGGCTACTTTCTCCATGCGTTCCCAGTATTGGTCGTGAGTTGACTTTCGGATTTTGGCAATGTCCGCTTCATCATTGAGTATTATGGAAGCCAACAATTGCTCTGGGTTTAGAAGAATTTTTTGATTGTTTTTGTTGGCTTGCACTATTCCCCCCTTTTTAGGATAAACATCCGCTCGTCGGGTGAGTGCATCCGGTTTCATTCCCAGTCGACCTGGCCGGTAATTAATATGGAAGTTGAATCCTGATAAGAATTCTGACCAACGTGCTTGCCTCCTTGTCAAATTCTTTGTTGTAGTGAACCACTGTAGATTATTGTGGTCAGTAAATACTTCAATTTTATACCTTGCTCCTTCCAAGTAAGCTCTCCATTGCTTGAATGATTCCACAATTGCTAACATTTCCTTGTCATATATGTCGTAATTTAGTTCAGCCGCTACTAGGCCACGCGCAAAAAATGCAATGGGGTGGAATTCTCCTGTCTCCGGGTTGAACTGAGATATTACTGATGCAATAGCATAGTCTGATGCATCAGATTCCACAAT